AGCAAACTAGGCAATTTCAAGGCCTGCTCTTGGGCACTGTAACTTCATCATGCTGCTACGTTGTCAATATAATCACTAGATTGGTCAAGGCTTACTAGCACTCTGCCAAGTAATCATAACCTGGGCAGGGTTCAGGACTCCATAGGGGTCAGGGATCATTCCCAATACTGAGTACGAAGGCAGCTACCTGGTTTTGGGGGATGAGAGAGTTAATTTCTGTGGTCAGTCTGGGCCTATTGGCCTCAGGAAAAGTGATCAGGCCCCTGTCCTTTGTTGACTATTGTAGGTATAGTCTGAGATTCCTGACCTTGGTCAGCTTGTGGTTGTGTGGGACAGGCCATCAGGACTCTTCCTTCCTCAAAACATAGCCTAGGGCCTGTGCTGTCGTGCCTTTCCATGCTCCTGCAACCCTCTTACACATCAGCATCCTCTTTGTTTCAAGCCAGCCTGTTGCCTGAGGCATCCTCCTACACTTTCTGCTGGTGATACTCAGAGCCTCCTCTGTAAATCAAACAGTGCCAAGGCACAGGCAGGTTCCTGTAATAGTTCACCCTGTTAAACTGTCAGCACCGTCTCTGGCAATTTTGGCCAAGGCCAACTAGCATTGATGTAGCCACGTGGAGTCAAGTCATGACAGCTGGCCAAGGACAAAGGCTGGTTTTTGGTCTGCTTTGTTTAACGATATGGACAGAACCTCTGACTCCATAATCCTATCTCTGGACATTTCTGCTACAGTCCTTGCTGAGACCGCTGAGCAGCCTTTGACATCCACACGAAGCATCTTTGTCCATAGCACTTAGGGTGGGGTTTTTTTTAATAGTAGGAGCATCTCCTTTTCTCCTTCCTGGTGGCATCCTGGGGCTCTCTCCAAAGACCACGTTTCTGGAGCCGATGGCTTTGGCTCCTTAAAAACGTGCTTTGGCGCAGGGACAGCAGTGACTATGCCCCGCGCAGTTTGTGTGCTACTGCGACATACGTAGTAAATAAGCGTGAGGGTAATTATACCAACAGGAATTCTGGGAACCCTGCCAGAACGGAGGGGACAGCCAATCCTTTGTGCATTTAAAGAAAATCGCCCCGAATCCCCCTCCCTACCCCAAATTAGTTCTATCTCTTGAAGCCATGATGGGACTTAGAACTAAAAATACATATATACACACAAATACACACACTTGTATATAAAAATAGCCAGCATTCAAAAAATAAAAAGGCCAAAGTTAGGCTCCTGTATCCAAAATTAAGCTCTTAAATAAATAAATTAGCCTGATTTTCAGAAGCACAGAGCAGTGAATGGCTTTCACTGACATAAGAGGAAGCATCGTGTTGCTAAAGATTGAAGATCAGGCCTGAATATGGATTTGAAAGTCTAATTATAGAATCCTGTTTGCTACCAGCTTGACCGAGAACAACAAATTTCAGGTGAAATGACATCGATTTTTTTTTTTCCTCAGAGTTTGTCTACACTTAAGCAGTGTTAGTAAAGGTAGGAGAAAGCCCTCAAACAAGTAAATAGAATACCACAAAGAAGAAACAGATATACTGGAATAAAACTGCTTACACTGGCGTTGTACATTTGTGTTTGGAAAAAGGGTTAAGCATTACCAATGTTACAGCCGGGTGAAATTTTATATTGATTAATTAGACAGGTATTTATTAGTTGTTGAAAGCCTACCAGGTAGAAAGACTGCTTTTCGCAGTTACTCTCGCACTTTCTTTGCTGAAAACTCACAATCGACTGGCATCAAGGAGGAAAGGGCTTTTACTCCCCCCTTTCCTCTCTTTGTCGGACTTGGGTCTGAAGGATGCTAAAGAGAGGGCACCATATTTTCACATGGACTGAAAAGAGAGTGCAAAGGGACTCTCATTTCTGAGTTCATTTCCCTTCAGCTGCAAATGGTCCTTGCAGCTGTTTTGCTCCTGCGCTGTTCATTTGGGAGGCCGTGACCTTTTGCTGGCCAAAATTATGCCAAGAGATTCCCGAGGTCACAGTCCCATGTGGCAGTTGGATAGGGACAGATCCTTCTGGGTCTTCCAGTACAGATCAGATTGGGCAGGTCTGGGCTTTATGGTGTCAAGTTCAGCTGCAAATGGTCCTTGCAGCTGTTTTGCTCCTGCGCTGTTCATTTGGGAGGCCGTGACCTTTTGCTGGCCAAAATTATGCCAAGAGATTCCCGAGGTCACAGTCCCATGTGGCAGTTGGACAGGGACAGATTTGTCCTTCTGGGTCTTCCAGTACCGATCAGATTGGGCAGGTCTGGGCTTTACGGTGTCAAGGAAGTATGTGGACCCTGGGTGGAGGACCATCAGCAGGCAGAGTGATACTCCACTCATGGGTTTGTGTTGTGGTGTTTAGATGCTGGGGACAGCACTAAAAGAACTGGGTTCTTCTGCCAGAAGACTTTGGGAGAGCCCTTTTGATGCTCCATGACTCAGTTTTCCCATCTATGGAAGGGGCACAATACAGTTGACCTTTGCAAAAGGCTGTGGGCTCAACAGCCAAGAGAATTTGGTGTTACTGTCATTGCCGTTGTTCTGGCCATTGATGGAGACAGGATGGGAGACAGCATAAATACATTTATCCAATGCATTTTTACGTCCTTTTATGCATGCTGCCTCCATGAATAGGTGGCATGTCCTCCCACTGTGGCCAGTGAGAAACATTCATGCTTAAACTGTGTGGATGGTGGTGAATCCATAGAGATCAAGGAGAAATCATTGCAGGACATGGTGTCCCTTCTGTTAGTTTCTTAATCTTTTCGAGTGACTCAATGCCATTGTTATAGCTTGGTTCTGCCAACCTGGAGCGCTCAGAAAAATAAAGACAGTCTTAAGAATAAACAGAAACTGGAGACAGCTGGTGGGGACAACAATGTGGAAGAGTAGAGGTCTAGCAAATGTGAGCTGTGAGAAAGGACTGAAAGAAATTGTTTTTTTTTAGTCTGGAGAAAGGAAGACTGAGGGTTTACATGGTAACTAGGTGCAAACAGGTAAAAGACTGCTGCAGGGTGAAAATGAATAAATTCTTCTCCTTGTCCATGGCTGGGATCATGAGAAATGGTAAAAGACTGCTGCAGGGTGAAAATGAATAAATTCTCCTTGGCCATAGCTGGGATGATGAGAAATTAGTGGCTTAAACTTCAGAAGAGTAGTTTAGTTTTCATGTACTAGCAGGAATGGGAGCTTCTGGGAAGGGAAGGCGATGCAAGACTACAGGACAGATTTGGTAAATATCTCTCTGGCAGAGGTGACGCTGTCTTTGCCCAAAGGCACTTGGGCAGCACCTTATGGGCACCACCACCTTGGTTTTCGGCAGCCCTGTGTCGCTGATATTATAAAAACCAGTTGCACGCTCCTTTTCTCTGCTTTGTACTTGAGCCATTACAACTCACTGTCCCCAACTTTGCCTTTCCAGCTAAACTACATTTATTTAATTGCTTGCATGCGTGAAGGGAAGGCAGGATTCCTGTGTCATCCTGCAGCTTCTGGGGCTGGGGTCTTTCAGGGAAATGCCGAGTACATGCAGTGGCCTTGGGCATATTGGGGAGTGGGAGGAGGACTGGTGTCCACAGGAGAGCAGGTGGTCCACAGGCATTTCCACCCCATTCAGGCTCTGCTGGGAATGTCACACCAGTGTCACCAGTGTCGTATGTGACTGGCGTAGCATTTTCTCTAGTGTCGAGCCCCATCTGGTGGCTTTCCTGCGACATTTTTTGTGTCCTTGTGTCTTCTTTCGGGATTTTTCGTCTCCTGTGCTTCCGAACTGCAAACGGGAAGGAAGGACAGGGTGCTTGAGAAAGGGCAGGGCTTGCAGAGCTACCTTTGCTTCTCTCCCAGCTCCCTGTCCCTGAGTGTAATTTGGAGATACAGAGGCTGTCGAGGCTTATGTCCTTTCTTCCTGCTCTTCCTTGCTGTGCAATCTCACCCCGAGTGGCAAGGAATGATCTAATCGTTTTGGCGAAACCCCAGTTTGTGCTGTGAGCCCCTCCCGGAGCCTTCAGAAGGCATTTCATCCCACCGTCATGCTGGCATCTGAGGTGGGACAGATGAACGGTCCCAGGAGGGGACATTTCTATCCATTGACTAGCTCAGATGACCAACTTTAGGGTCGGCATTAGGTGAAATGATTCCCATCCCAAATTTCAGAGCACAAGGTTACAGCCACCGCTCAGGATGAGAAGGAAAAAGACCCAATATTAGATCATTAATATCAGTAAGCATTAGAAAGGACTCTGTTAGGAGACGCTTCCTTTCTTAAATGGCATGAGTCCTGTGACATCTGGGCACCTTGTGCTACCCTGACTGGATCACCTCCATTTACAAAGGTTGGCCAAAGGTTCCCTGAAGGGAAGTTGTGTCCCCACGGTGAGGTTTGCAGTTCTCCTTGCACACCTGATATGGAAACAGAGGCAACAGAGCGGTACCTGTCCATGCATGAGACACCTCCTTCTAGTCCAACATTGCCCAAAGTCTCAATAGTTGACCAGTGGCAAGCTGTGGCCTTCTGCATTTGTGGGTCACACATGTGCTGAAGGTGAAGGTGGCATCTCATTGTTCCACCTGTGATGAAATAGGGTCAAATCTCTGGGGTCCGTGGGGGAAGCTCCTTACTACAGTGCTGAAGGGGCTTAGATGATCTGTCAAGCCACTGCCAAGTGTCATGACCAGCATTTGTCAAGTAGCTTCTCCTCTCCTCATCATGAAAACAAAGTGAGGGAGTTGTTTTCTTGTGCAAATGTTTCATGACCATTTCCTAGCCCCACACTTCACATTTGGGTGGTGCAAGTCGAAGGTTTCCTACTCTTGCAATACAAAAGTGGTCTTCAGATCTTGCAGGAGATGATAGTTTTAGAGCTGTGTAGACACCTGTGTCTACCCCAGATTCTCTTTCTCCCAGACAACCTCCCTTTCCCCAAACAACTGGCCCACAGCCCCATCCTCCTCAGGTTTTGATGCATGCCAAAGTCTCACACTCAGCTTTTCCTCCTGTTTCCTGCAGGTATATCCGAACTATGTACCTAGGGATCCAGAGCCAGAGGCGGAAGGAACACCAGCGGCGTTTCTACTGGGCTATGATGTACGAATATGCAGACGTAAATATGTTGCGCCTCCTGGAAACTTTCCTCGAGAGCGCCCCTCAACTGGTGCTACAGCTCTGCATAATGATCCAAAAGAACCGTGCAGAAACATTACCATGTAAGTGGCCCCCTCGTCCCCCCCCTTCCCATCCTCCCGGCCTCCCCCTCTGATCCCATGCTCAGCTGCCGATGGATGTTTTGCTAACCGTCCGCCCTACGCAACCTGGCGTGTGAGGGGCTGCCACTTGGGACAAATCTCATTCCAGCTCCGCGCTGTGTTCGCTGGGTAAAATTTCTGCTCATTCCGCTGAGAAACAAAACAGGATCAGTCAAAAGACGAGATGCAGCTCTTCCACACCCAGTCCAGTCTAAAGAAATGATGGTGTTGTCAGGAGGAGGCAGGCAGTCTCTGCTGCTATGGCAAGTGTCGCCATTCGTTTGCCACCTGGCACTTGGCAAACACAATCATTCCCTGCCTCAGTTTCCCTCCTTACATAAGTAGGATGATAAAACTCGCCAGATTTGAATTTGTGTTGCGAGGACAAACAGTTCAATGCCTGTGCAATGCTCTGATGGTGTGAAGTGTAGTATAAGGGGTTTTTTTAATAGCTAAATGCTGTAGGACCTTTTCTGAAGAGTGCCCAAGAATTAAGGTTTAGTCATTGGTACCATCGTTCTCAGCAAGTCGAAGAAAAGAGAGGGGGGAAGGCAGTGGAGGGGGTTGTGTAGAGACAGAGATGTTGTAGTGCAGTTATCATTGCAAAGGTAGATAGATGAGCAGAGGCTTGGAAGCAACCACAGAGAAGAGTTTGCCAATTCTGATGTCCTTTGCTGCAGTGATGTCCTGGAGCATGGAGCTTCTACCCCAGTCAAGAGGCATATGCCCCTGTCCCAGCCCTGGGGCGAGCAGCTCTACCAGCCCACGCCCATGGGAATGCTGGCTGCCTAAGAGTCACCAGCTCAAGGGAGAACTGTCCTTTCCAAGGACCAACAGTGGTACCAGCTGATGAGCTGCTGGGTTATTCAGCTCCTGCTCAATCCACACACCAGGGATGACACTCAGATTATGCTTCCCAAAGACAGCCTGTTTGTGGCATGCCATTTCTGGCAGACCTGAGGAGTTTCTTGGAGCTGGGGTTGGAACTTGGCAGTTCTTCAGGGTTAAATTTTGCTAGTTGGACCAAGGTCACCACTATCTAGAGCATCAGTAAGTTGGACTGCTCTCCCCTTCCTCCATGCTTTAAGCATGTCCATCATAGTTGTTTAGAGAGGCCTCCCTTCTCCTATTTATGCAGTCTTTTTCTGAAACCTCTCATCACGAGCTCTCCAGGCCTCCAAAGTGCTGACATGATGAACATGCCTTTCTACAACTCCTGCTAGAACTGCTCACATTTGCCAGCACCCTTTTCCTGCTGCTTCCAACATTATTAACTCTACTAAAAATGTATAAATCATAACCTAAGAGGCTTGCCAGGGTGTTATGCAGATTGTTGGACTCGCTACAGAAAGCACTGGGTGAAGTTTGCTGGCCTCTGTTGTGCTGGAAGTCAGACACCACGGCCGAATAATCCCTTTAGGCTTTCAAATCTGCGTCTCTTTCAGTTTGCCACTTCCAGGCATGGCTGCCTAATCCACCGAACAAGCTGCATCATTTTCCAACCCCCCCCCCCCCTCCCCCCCCTCTTTATTT